AAAATGACAAAGAATAATGATTAGTATTAAGACAATTAGTGGCAGACAAACTCGAACATCCATCTCATATGCATTGAAGTATTATATCATTAAGAAACATTTGCTTGAATCCATGCGAATCCAGAAATAGTTCTAGAAGAAATAAGTTCAATGAGTTAATTGATTATTTTTGGTTGAAAATTGATGTAGATGAAAATAGTAGTTGTTGTTGTAATATTATCTACCAGATCACTCTAGCATATTTTATTTATAAGTTGTTCAAATCAACAACAATTAGAACATAAATTTCATCTATAAAAGCAATCTAAGGAATAGGAGGTAGTTTAAAGAGGACTACCAACAGCATTTTAGGCATTATTAATCCACTTGAAAATTATAATTAAAAAGTAGTACACTATAATTGAAAAATAATTAATTAACATCATATTCAATAATTTCTGCTCAGATAAAATGCATTTCTCAGTTTTTAAAGGGCAAGAATTTTGTATTTTTATCCAAAATATTCGATTATTAAGAAGTAAAGAATAATTAAATCTTAAGTCTTAGTATCTTATTGCATTCGATTTTAAACTGAAATCAATAGATATAACAGTTAACATATAATTCGAATACTTTTAACTCTAATTATAAATTAATAGATAATTTTATTCAACATATGGCCCACTTGAAAAAATAATCACAACTGACTACTTAATCTTCCTATAATTGTTCAATCAAGTTATTCTATATCATAATGAACTTAAGATTAGAATAGATTTCAAGATTAATCATCTTTGTTAAGTTATCCATTACTGTCTTTACAATCTTAATTTACACTGTTCTTAACAAATAGTTAGTTTAAAAACTCAAACATAAGATGCATCACAGTCTGCCCATAAAGTTGCTATTCTACTTTGATAATATTGTAGCGGAAAGCATGCCTCAAATAAATTTATTGTTATATCATCTCTTAAAGTTTAAAAGCATGGACAAAATTTGGAATGAAATTAAATGCTTTGAGGGATCTATGCATTTAATGCACCTTAAATAATTGAATCGGGTTTGGGGTTTGGGTTTGGGTTTGGGTTTGGGGTTGGGGTTGGGTTTGGGTTTGGGTTTGGGAGATACCATGGACTGGCCAGCCTTCATTAACACTCTCGCGAGCGCAC